GTCTCCCAAATACTGCGGATCCTAGAATCTTTTTCCATCTCTCTGTCTCCCGAACCACAAAAAAAAATACTCTCTCCGTATCAGGGTTGTTGACTAGCGCGGCAAAGTCTAGCCTGAAAGTTCTCCCGTGGAACTCATCTCTCTTGAGGGTGTGGGGAGTGGGGCTCAATAGGCTCTTTCCTTTCCTGTCTCACGTTCCCTCTGTATAATTAGGGGTTCGACTGGGGGTGTCTCAGGAAATCCAACTATGTCAGTATCCATTAGGCCGGTCCTGCCCCGTGGCCCACGTCTGCAAGAACAGCTGCTTCCCATCCCCATCCCATGAGCAAGCGACGGCGGCATCGTCTCGCCTCTTCACCCCGCCAACTGGTGTCTCAGCCCCAAATCCTAGCAGTGGGAAGGGGTGGGAGATAGGCTGTCCTTCAAACCACTCAGAGTTCATCACTGAGCCCCCTCCTCCCTTCCCAGTTCACTCCTCTTTAAGCTTTGGGGATACAGGACGCCCTGGACTAGCAGGCTGGCCAATTTGGTCACTTTGTGGGGCGGGAGCTCTGGCTTCCAATTCACCAGGGACACCAGGGGATGGTGAGATGGAGGAAGGGTGAAGGTGGAGGTGGAACTCGCCTCCAAGCACCCAGGACACGTGCGTGGGCAGACACATTTGCAAGGAAGAGAATCATGTCCGCCTCTTCCAGGAAGGGAGCTGGCTACAGGCCATGCTGAATTCGGCGAGAGGCTCGGCCAGTGAAAGAGTGGGAGGGCGCAGAAGGCTGCCCCAGCTCTTGGAGTTCCAGCCTCCCTGCCTCTGATCTTGGGGCGGGCAGGACAGTGATGGGGACAGTTCAGGAAGGGGGCAGGGCAGAGGGGCCCCTTTCTCAGCTCAAATAGAATCCTTCGTAGACAGTGTGTTAATTCGAGGCCTCTTCGGGCTGAAAACTGCCTAGAAAATTCAAAGAGCAGGGGAGCCTCTGTTTCTTCCGATTTCTTACCGTTGGCCCGCACGTCTACGAAGGAGAGTTGGGAAGAGGCTGCGGACAAGGCTTTTGACACCAGGGGGCAGCACCGACCTGGAGCCGCGGGAGGGCCCGCGGGCTGACGGGGAACCCGAGAAGGGGTCGCTGTAAAGGCTGGGCAGAGCGGCCCGGTTACGGCTGCGTTCTCACCGCGTGGTGGCTGCAGCGCCCCGGGTGTGGTGGAGTGATATTCCAGGGCCTCGAGACACCCCGGGCTCCCGAGCGCAGCTTGGAGACTCGTCCCCCCTTCCCCTCGGCCCCCACCGCACACGTCCCCACCCGGAGTCGCCCTGGCGGCTCTGCGCTGGGTCCCAGCTGCGAGCCTGAGTTCGGCTGCGGGAACCGCGCGGCCGGCGGCAGGGCGAGTCCCAGACAAAGGCCAGGCCGCTCCCAGGCCCAATTAAGCCACCCGCCTCCCAGCCTTCATTGTTCCTGGGGTCGCCAATTAGCCCTGGCGCCCCGCGTCCCACCGCTCCGGTGCCCCAAGGCCTCCTTAACCCTTCAGGGCCTGGCACCAGGGGCCCTAGACGGCAGAATCGCCAGCGGACGAGTGTGGAGGGCACATTTGGGGGTGATTGGGGTTGCTGACTTGGTGTGTCCCCGCGGGGCCCTGTGCGTTGGGACTGTGGGGGTGTGAGAGGGCATTGTGTGTGTCGTTGTCGGATTGTGAGTGTAATTCACAGGGGAGTTTAGAGACTGGGAGCGTAGGTGTGTGGGGGGGCTCCGTGAGACCCCTAGCGGCTAGGCAGCAAGGATTGCGAGACCTAGGGGACCTCATTTCTTCTTCGGTCAATCCGAGTCTCTGGAGCCCTCGAGTAATCCCCCATCTCTACGCCGCCAGCCCAACCCCCAGAAATGCTGCGGTGGAGGAAATCCTGACTTTAGTGGCCTGGCCCTGCCCCCCCAAGTGTACAGAACTGGGACCCGCCTCCCCAGTGTACCGCGAACGTCCACGCAGGGCACCCCTTGGAGCCAGAGGCGCGCGTTCAGCTTAATGCTCCGCAGGACACCCACAGGTGAACGCCCCGACCCCCACCCCGCCCCATTTCCCGGATATAGGACGGTTCAAGGGACGGAGTCTCTAAATTCTGAGCCTGCTTTTCTCATCGGCTTTGGGAATTACCCCAGATCCAATCCCACTCCATCCTCTCCTTCGCCGTCCTGGACCCCAAACCCAGAGCACGAGCCGGGCAGACAGGATCCGTCCGGCGAGGGGCCGAGGGCTCCGTGCTCTAGGACCTGAGCGGCAGAAGGGAGACCCGTGCGCGGGAAAAGGGGCAAAGGGGAAAGAGCCTGAGCTCCGGGTTCTCTCTGGGTACTCCCCGGGAGCTCCCTCGGCAGTTCAGTCTGGTCACCTTCGCTGAATGCTTTGATGACTCCGTCCGCCGAATGCGCCGGGGACTTTGATTTGGCCTTAGAGCTCCTTTGGGGCTCTCTGGAGGCGCGGATCCTCTCGCCCCACCCCGCGTTCGCTTCTGAAGCACGGGATTCCCAGACTCGACGGCTGCCCCCTTTTCCCAGCCCTCCCCCTTTTTTGGTGCCTTCGGCAGCTCCCCTTTGGGAACAGACCTGGAGCAGACCCTGGTCGGGGACCACGGCAACTCCCCATATGCCCACCAGATGGCGCTCCAGGCCAGGGACCGGGCGGCGGCCGGACAGCCCATCCCGGGTTGGGGCTGGCAGTGCACACAGAGCCGCCGCAAGACGGGAATCGAGACAGAGCCAAAGACAGACTGGCTTCCATCCAGGCCCAGAGACGGGCACAGGCAGCCGAGGGACCGAGGCGCTCGGCAGAGCCCGAAGGAGGCTCTGGACAGGGATGCAGACACAGGGATGGGATCGCCCGAGGCTTGGGATGGGGGCTTCTTCCCTTCTCCTTGGGGCCGCCCTACGGGCCAGCCCCTCGACTTGCGAAGCCCCAGCTGCAAGCACCCGCCGGCCACCCGCGTGCTGGGCGGGCTGGGCCCTCGCCATCCTTATCGGGGCAGGACGCCGCCTGACTCCCGCCTTCCGGGCCTCTCAAAACTGAGGCTATGGGCTTGGTTCCGTCGCGCACAGGAGGAACTGCTTTGCACGGTGGGGCCACCTAGCCATGCGGGGTTGGGGGATAGGAAGCTGAGGCGGCTCCCGGGCGATGGGCAGGTTCCAGTGAACCTCCCGCCCTGAGGTCCGCCGAGGCGCCTTCCTCTAGCTAGCTTCCTCCACCCCTTTTTTCAAGGTGGAGATGGGGGCAGCAGGATGCGCTCCCCTGGGGCGAGCTCTGCGGAGCTACTCCCCGGGGTCCTGCCTTCTAGGCCTCGGGTGCCAGAAGATCTGAGGAAGCTTTGGTCCAGTGGGAAGTGGTTGGGTTTGGGGAGGGGGGCAGGAATCAGCTTGAGAATCTATCTTGGGCTTAAAAGCCACCAAGGTTCTGGTTCAAGTTTGAATGGAAAGGGGGCAGGTGCGAGGCTCCAGGGTCCTACTACCAGTCTGATTGGGAACGAGGTTTGGAAACCCGATTCCAGCTGACACTTAACGTCCCCAGACGAGCACTGTCACTCTCTGAGATGATCTCCCTTATTATCAACCAAGGATACACAGCTCGAGGGCAGCCCAGCTAGCAGCGTTTCCACGACAACAGTCACCAGCTTGTTGTGTGACCCCAGTCAGGTGTCTGCCCCGCATTAGGCTTCCAGCTCTCTCACCTTCAATGTGTGACACAAGGGAGGGTCAAACCCGTGGCATCAACTACCACGTGGTAGTTATCTATATGCCCATCTACTGCTGAACTGGGGGGGTAGGTACAAGGTCAAACTCTGGCTCTAGCTGTGTGACTTTGGACAATGTGACTTTCTTCTCTGGGCCCCAATTCCTCCTCCTGAAAATCAGTAGTTTGGAGTAAAATCAAATTGATCCTTGAGTGACCAGTTGAACTTTAGCCAGTTCCCAGTGACCCCCAGCCTCAACTTCCTCAGAGAAGAGGCAGGGACGCTACTGCCATTTAATGTTCGAGGAGCCTGAGCCCCGGATACCACGAGGGGGGAATCCACCACCACTGGGGCTGTTGCTGCTGAGATTCCTGGGGTGGGGGCAGGACTGGTGGCCAGAATGAATT